TCAGGTCAGCGTCTCACGGTTTGGGGGTTCAAGCCCCACATTGGGCTGTCAGCACAGAGCCCGCTTTAGATCCTCTGTCCCTTTCTCTCTCTGCCCCTCCCCTGCTCATGCTCGCTTGCTGTCTCTCATAAATAAATATTTTTTAAAAGAGGGTTTTCATTTTTTTTAACTAATTTATGTATTTTGAGAGAGAAAGAGAGGGAGAGAGGTAGAGAGAGGGAGAAAGAGAATCCCAAGGAGACTCTGCACCATCAGCGCAGAGCCCAGTGTGGGGCTCGAACTCAGAACCGTGAGATCATGACCTGAACCAAAAACCGAGTCGGACGCCCAACCTGAGCCGCCCAGGCGCCCAATAAACATTTTTTAAAAATTAAAAAGTAGGCAGTTGCTCAAATTATTTTTGTTATCTAGACCTAAAGTGCTAGAATTGATGTTTTATACTTTGAAGTTCAAGGAAGCACTTGCCTGCATATGGTTGAATAGCGAAAGGCAATAGATACTTTATTTAGAATTCTTACTACTAGCTAAGATGGGCTTTTAAATAAAGACTCTGCCTCTGGATTAGGGGCTTTTGACATGTGGATTGGAATTATAACTGCTTTTATATGATTTTAAGAAGAATGGGTTCATGCCAGCATGGACTAGACCAAACTTACATATGCCCCGAATCAGATCTGTCCCCAATGTCTGAGCCAACTCTCTGTCTCATGTGACCCTGACACCTACCCCAACTCGTAGGCAAGAATCATGTGAGAGATAAAAATAACTCTCTCCTGTTGCTTGTGGCAGCGGTTGAGTGGGAGCTAGCTCAGAGTTAATTGGACTATGGAGAATCGTGAAAACATTAAATAGTTGCAGTGAACTCTGTCTTGAAGGACCTTTGCCTCTGAGGAATCTCCCTCAGCACTGTGACTTTAAAGAACTGAAATCCTCTTTCTTACTCGAGAGGCACCTCCTCTTAAGGAAACTGCTGAATCTCAATTTAGAAGCTGGTAAACATAAGAACATTCCTTTGCATTTCACCATAGAATCACTGGTAGGATCACCTTAGATAGAATTCTCCAAAGTGGGGGCACCTGAGTCGCTCAGTTGGTTAAGCGTCTGATTCTTGGCTTTTTGGCTCAGGTCATGATCTCATGGTTTGGTGAGTTCAAGCCCTGTGTCAGGCTCTGCACCGGGGGCACAGAGCCTGCTTGGGATTCTCTCTCTCCTTGTCTCTGTCTCTCCCCCACTCACACTGTCTCCGTCTCTCTCAAATAAATCAGATAAAATAAAACTTGAGGGGCGCCTGGGTGGCGCAGTCGGTTAAGCGTCCGGCTTCAGCCAGGTCACGATCTCGCGGTCCGTGAGTTCGAGCCCCGCGTCAGGCTCTGGGCTGATGGCTCGGAGCCTGAAGCCTGTTTCCGATTCTGTGTCTCCCTCTCTCTCTGCCCCTCCCCCGTTCATGCTCTGTCTCTCTCTGTCCCAAAAATAAATAAAAACTTGAAAAAGAATTTTCCAAAGTAGATCCCTTAAATATTGGTATAAAACTGGAAACACAGAGACAAATAAAGCTATTGTTAATTTCTACAACTTGACAGTTAATTAGAAGTGAAGAGAAATGTCACTGAAATTTAACTGTCCAGGTGTCAGCATTATTTAATTTACAGTAACCTTGATAAGAAAGCATCTGTTTTGGGGCGCCTTGGGTAACTCAGTTGGCTAAGCATCCAACTCTTAATCTCGGCTCAAGTCATGATCTCATGGTTTGTGAGGTCTAGCTCCATGTCAGGCTCTGTGCTGACAGTGTGGAGCCTGCTTGAGATTCTCTCGCTCCCTCTCTGCCCCTCTCCTGCTCGTGCATGCATATGCACATGCTCTCTGTGTCTCTCTCAAAACAAATAAGAATTTTTAAAAATGCATCTGCTTTATAAAGAAAACTGTTTTTGTGTTTTTTCCAACTGCCTATGGCACAGTAAATCATAGATATATGTTGGTATTGAATGCAGAAGATACTGTTAAAAGTTTTAAATTATATTGAGTTGTCATAATATTAAATTAGTTGTGCCCTTAAAAATTGAAGGTCATTTTCTAAACTTTTGGTTTCTTTAAGAAAAAAAAATTAGGGGCACTTGGGTGGCTCAGTTAAGCATCCGACTCTTGATCTCAGCTCAGGTCTTGCTCTCAGGGTCCAAGCCCCACATTGGGCTCTGTGCCAGGCATAAAGCCTACTTTAAAAAATAGGGGCGCCTGGGTGGCTCAGTCGGTTGGGTGTCCAACTTCGGCTCAGGTCATGATCTCACAGCATGGGTTCAAGCCCCACGTCGGGTTCTGTGCTGACAGCTCAGAGCCTGGAGCCTGCTTCAGGTTCTGTGTCTTCCTCTCTCTGCCCCTCCCCTGTTCACACTCTGTCTCTATTTCAAGAATAAATAAACATTAAAAAAATTTTTTTTTAATAAAAAATAATTGAACCATTAGAGAGAACTACTGAAGAGAACTCTTTCTCTACTTTGTGGAAGAGCAATGTGAATGATGGCCTGTGTGAACCTCTGTGAATCTCCTTACCCCCCTTCCTTCCCTCCCAGCCTGACAGCCTTGCCCTTAGTCGCTATCAGTGGGGACCTGTCACTGTGCAGGAGCACAGCTAAATTGATCTGAGCTTTTGGGCTGCCTGGGATCAGCGTACAGAATTGGCTTTCTAGCCTAAGCTCGCCTGCCATCTTGTCCCACTTGTTCAGGCAGCTTCATTGGTTAATTCATGAAGTACAATCTAACTTCTTAGCTCGCCGTGGAGTGCAGTTATCTCTAAAAATGTAGAGAATCAGTTTAGTAGCACCTGGCTGGCTCAGTCAGTGGAGCATGTAACTCTTGATCTTGGGGTTGTGAGTTTGAGCCCTACACTGGATGTGGAAATTACTTTTAAAAAAATAATATATTTTTTAAAAGGTGGTTTTTTTGTGGTTTTTTTTGTGTGTTTTTTTTTAATGTAGAGAATCAGTTTAAATAAGAAAGGGTAGACGTTTCTATTTGAGTAGACTCAAAAGCCACAGAGGGGAAAGAATGGGTAGGAACTGAAATAAGCATGTTGGCAAGAGAAAGGAAAAGGATTCTTTGGCACATAAATAGCAAAAATTAATTTCAAAGTATAACCTACCTAGGAGTCTCGCCTTTAAATTGGCTTCTATTGTTTTTATTACTAAATATCTCTAGAGAACTTTTAGAGCACTCATTTTAAAGTTTTGTTCATTCTCTACAAACTTAATGAGCCCCTAATTTTTAGTTTATTGTACAAATAACATGGCAATGGTAATAGGAAATAAGTTACAGCATTCCCCAGGCATTTCCAGAGATTTCTCCTTCCCTTATTATCTCTCCCCACTTCTGCCCCTAGCATAGACAGATAAAAAAAATATAAAAAGCAAAAGCTAAAAAGACATAGCCTGGCTCAAAAGCAAGGTGGACACCATATCCACAGATCAGAAACAGTAGAAGTGCTGAATATCATGGAAGAGCTGCAGCCGGCCTGGCCTTGGGTGGTCAGACCCCTTGCAGTCGGGGGAGCCCAAGTTCCCAACGGAAAGGATACCAAGAGCTGAGACTTCCATTTTGAAAAAAAAATTTTTTATTTTTTAAAATTTTTAAGCATTTTTTATTTTTATTTTGTTTATTTTTGAGAGAGAGAGAGGAGAGACAGAGCGCAAGTGGAGGATGGGCAGAGAGAGAGGGAGACACAGAATCCAAAGCAGGTTCCAGGCTCTGAGCTGTCAGCACAGAGCCCAATGCGGGGCTCGAACTCACGGACCATGAGATCATGACCCGACCTGAAGTTGGACGCTCAACCGACTGAGCCACCCAGGCACCCCAGGAGCTGAGACTTTTAGAAAGATGTGGGCCTGCGTAGAGAGGAGACACAGACCCAGTGCACACTAAAAGATGGAGCCAAACCACCCCCTAATTCCATGACTCTGCCTGTGGTATTCCCTGTGTCACCTTGGAGCAGGAGCCCTTAAACTGTCACTTTAAGACCAAGCTTTGGAGAGCTTGGTGAAAGCAGCCTAACAAGGAAGCTCTTCACTAATTGGAATATAAATTTACTTGAGATGAAGTGAATTTTGTAGCATGGCCTGACAAGGAACTGAAATATGTTCAGGGTATTCAAAGTTAAAGAAAGAATAATTTCCGTTTTAAAAGAACAAAAAAAATCATGGAAACAAAGGCATACATAATGGAAACAGATACGTAAAGAACAGGTAGAAATGAGTAAAATCAAATGACTAGAGATGGGACAGCTCTAGTTTAGATTCAGTTGAAAAGAAAATTAAGTAATTGGAATAGACTGAAAAATTTACCTATGATGCATCAGAAAATCTTTTAAAAAATACCAAAGGGCCAATGGAAGATACAGAGTATATAAAGGCCTGCCGCTGTGTAAAGTTGCCCCCTCCCTGTCACTGTTCTGTTCGTCACCTTGTCCTGCGCATCTCTGTCAATACCTGTCACTCACTAGCAGAATCACCACATTTGTGTATTTGTTGATTTACTCTTTACCGAGTTTCTATACAGTATGCTCTCTGTTTGGGGCATACTGTATAAAGACAGCCAAGAATAAGTAAGATAAGGATCTTGCTCTCGTGGGTCTTGTGTTCTAGCCTATTGATCACCATACCTCTGGCACATACGCTGTTATCTGGCTCAAATTAGCATTCAGTGTATTTGTTAAGTGAATGGATTAATTAATGAAGTAATTAATCTCTCAAAATACCTTCTGTGTGCCTTCATGGCCTTGATTATCTGCTGTGTTTGGCCAGCTTTGCAGTGGGGAGAGAGACGGGGAGGAGATGAGAGAAATCCTCCCTCCCCAGAGTACACCCTGCTCTTACCAGTCTGTGACACACAGGAAATACGGGTGACCTCCAGAGACCTGGAGTTCGCCTAACATGTGTCCTCTTGGTTTTTGATTCAGAATGAGACCAGCAATGTGAACAGTATTAATGTGTTAATTTTTCTTTTTCACTTTTCAGGCTGGAGTAAAAGGGACATTGGGAAGATTAGTTGGAATTTTTGAGGTAAGTCAGTTAAAATCTTTGGTGCAATTGGTATCATATTAGTAACCATATTGTGTTATGTATATATATATATATATATATATATACATATATATACACATATATATACATATATACATATATACAATGTATATATATACATACACACATATACGCGTGCGCACACACACATATATATATACATGCATGTATACATGTATATATACATACATATCTTTGTCTTAGTCCATTTGGGCTGCTATAACAAAACAGTGGCTTATAAACAATAGAAATTGATTCCTCACAGTTCTGGAGGTTAGGAAGTCCCAAGATCAAGGCACCAGCAGATTCAGTGTCTGGTGAGAACCACTTCCTGGTTCATAGTTACAGTTTCTCCTGCTATCCGAAAGTAGGGTGTTCGTATGCAACCTTTTGTAAGTTGAAGTGATAAGAAGTGAATAAGCAATTAATTTATATGCAGACTTTTTTTTTTTAGCATTTCCAGAACCAAAACAGTACCTCTCTCAGGCTTTTCTTATACCTCAGGACACATCCTGTTAACGGACGCGCAAAGTAAATCAAGATAAAGCACAGATGCTCACAGCCTCATTTCAAAGCCTTGGCGGCTTGATGAGGAAATGCCGAGTGTCGCTCTCGGGGAAGGAGTTTGGGGGTGCCGCTCCCCACGTTCCAGATGTGCACTGCTGCTCTCGTGGCTCGCTGCAACATAAATGCTAAATGGTGGTTTTGCTTTTCACCTCTTTTTTATAAAAGCAAAACTCCTCTTCGGATTTCTTTCAGTTAGCAGAAACGGGTACTAATGTAGGTCTTCCGTAAAAGTGAAGCGTCATACCTAGAACTTTTGAACAGCAGCACATTCCAGTAGCTGTCTCTCTACATGTTCTCACATGGCAAAAGAGGGAAGGTTGCTCGCTGGGGTCTCTATCACGGCACCAATCCCATTTGTGAGGGTTAGTGCTCCTCACCTAATCCCCTCCCAAAGGCCCTCTCCTAATGCTATCCCATTGGGAATTAGGATTTGAGCCTCTGAATTGTGGGGGGGGCGTAAACATTCAGTCCGTTATAGTCTCAATCTAGCATAGATGCTGTCTTTGTTTCACTGACTTTTCAAAACAAAGCAGCACCAGCAGAGAATAACTTGCTTTCTTCTTTAAACTCCCATAGTCTCCTCCAAACAAATAGAATTATTTGTAAGTGCAGGCACACCTCAGAGATACTGCAGGTTCAGTTCCACACCACCGCAATAAAGCAAATATTGTGCTAAAGCAGGTCAAATGTTTCTTTGTTTTTGGTCAGTGCATATAAAAGTTGTATTTACACAATACTGTAGTCTGTGAAGTGTATACATACACTTAGAGTACGTATGTTAACATATATACCTTTATTTAAAAATACTTTATTGCTGGGGCACCTGGGTAGCTCATTCGGTTAAACGTCTGACTCTTAGTTTCAGCTCAGGTCATGATCTCACGGTTTGTGAGTTCGATCCCTGCATCAGGCTTTGTACTGACAGCATGGAGCCTGCTTGGGATTCTCTCTCTCTCTGCCTCTCCCCCACCCACACGCACACGTATGCTCTTTCTCTCTCTAAATAAATAAACTTCAAACCCTTTATTGCTAAAAAATGCTAACCATTGTGAGCTTTCATCAAGTTAAGTTATAATCTTTTTGCTGGTGGAGGGTCTTGCCTCCATGTTGATGGCTGCTGACTGATCCAGGGTCATGGTTGCTGAGAGTTGGGGTGGCTGTGGCAATGCCTTAAAATAAGTTTGCTGCATCGATCGACTCTTCCTTTCATGAACAATATCTGTGTAGCAGGCAATGCTCTTTGTTAGCATTTTACCCACAGTAGAACTTCTTTCAAAATTGGAGTCAGTCCTCTCAAACCCTGCCACTGCTTTATCAACTACATTTATGGAATACTCTGAATCTTCTGTTATCATTTCAACAGTCTTCATAGCATCTTCACCACGGGTAGATCCCATCTCAAGAAATCACCTTCTTTGCTCATCCACGAGAAGCAGCTCCTCATCTGTTAAAGTTTGATATGAGTTGGGCAGTCCTGGGTGGCTCAGTCAGTTAAGTGTCTGACTTCGGCTCAGGTCACAGTCTCGCGGTTCGTGAGTTCGAACCCCACATCGGGCTGTGCGCTAGTGGTGTGGAGCCTGCTTGGGATTCTCTCTGCCCCATCCCCACTTGCGCTCTCTCTCTCAAAATAAATAAATAAATGGGACACCTGGGTGGCTCAGTCAGTTAAGCGTCCTACTTCGGCTCAGGTCATGATCTCACAGTTTGTGAGTTCCAGCCGCACGTCGGGCTCTCTGCTCACAGCTCCGAGCCTGGAGCCTGCTTTGGCTTCTGTGTCTCCCTCTCTCTCTGCCCCTCCCCTGCTCTCACTCTGTCTCTGTCTCTGTCTCTCTTGTCTCTCTCAAATTAATTAATTAAAAAATTAAAGAAATAAAGAAGATGTTTAAATAAATAAGTAAAGTTTTAAAAAAAAGTTTGATAATGAACTTGCAGCAGCTCAGTCCCATCTTCAAACTCCACTTCTGATTCTAGTTCTCTAGCTGTGTCCACCATATCTTCAGTTATTTCCTCCACTGAAGTCTTGAACCCCTCAAAGTCCTTCACAAAGGTTGGAGTCAACTTCTTCCACACTCCTGTTAATGTTGGTATTTTTACCTTTTTCCATGAATTACCAGTGTCCTCGAGGGCATCTAGAATGGTGAATCCTTTCCAGAAGGTTTCCAGTTTACTTTGGTCAGATCCATCAGAGGAATCACTGTCTATGGCAGCTGTAGCCTTATGAAATGTATTTCTTAAATAGTAAGGCTTGAAAGTTGAAGTCGCTCCTTGACCCATAAGCTGTGGGATGGATGTTTTGTTAGGCATGAAAACATTAATCTCAGTGTCCATCTCCATCAGAGCTCTTGAATGACCAGGTGCACTGTCGATGGCAGTAATATTTTGAAAGGAATCTTTTTTTTTTTCTGAGCAGGAGGTCTCAGCAGTGGGCTTAAAATATTCAGTAAACCATGTTGGAAACAGATGTGCTGTCATTCAGTCTTTGTTCCACTTATAGAGCACAGGCAGGGTAGATTTAGCAGAACTTTGAAGGGCCCTAGGATTTTTGGAATGGTCATTGACCATTGGCTTCAACTTTGAGTCACCAGCTA